AGAGAACAGAAGGAAGGATAGAGAAGAGCACAGCAGCAATAGTTAGCGCTTGTTGTTTTGACTTGCCAGACAGTGTGTTGATGAACATATAACAGCAGTTCCATTGAATGCCTCTAATAAACAAGAACTTTATGAGACAAATACTGGTGACTTATTTCCTCAATAGCAAGACGTGGCTTGACCTGACCCTGCAGGACAGCAAACCCTCAATGACTCGGGCTATTTATAGTCTCTGGAGTGGCTCACGAGTTCCACTGAAGCACGGTGAGTGCGGCTGGCAATGGGGTACAGTCTAGACCCCTTGTGGAGAACTGTGTGTGGCTGATATATGGCTTTGTTATATATGTAGTTTACAAGCCCATGAAGGCTCTCAATTTGAAAGCACGCTGGGGAGTATGGTAGAACAGTGCAATTCTAGCACTCAGGAGGCCCTATAAAGGGGGTTGGGGGATTCCTGTGGGCTGGAAGCCAGCCTGGGATACATAATGAAACTGTACCTCAAAAACACCACTCACTCCCCCAAAAGAGAAAAGACTCGATGAACCAGAAGAATTTCAGTTTTGAACAAGGACTGTGAACTTTGTACTAGTTGCTAATAAGATGAGAAGATAAAATCTAAAAAGTGGGAATGGTGGCTCGCTGACAGAGCTACCTTCCAAATGTGAGAGTCTAGGTACCATCTTCAGTATTGCAAAAAAGAAAAAGAAATCATTAGGGCTGGGGAGATAGCCCTATGCTTAAAGCCCTAGCTACGTAAGCAAGAGGGCCAAACATGGGACTCCAGAACCGTCTTAAATGTCAATGCCTGTGGGTCTGGTGGCTCCCCTGTAATTCTAGCCTTGAAAGGCAGAGACAGGACTCTCTAGAGCAAGACGTGTAGTAAGGCTGACCACACCACTGAGCTCTGGGGTTGACTAGAGAGCCCATCTCAGAGGAAGATTCTTGACATGTACTTCCAGCTTCTACAGGCCCATGCACCTGCACCGTCCCAGACACATGCAGACAGATGCTTGAACACCACACATTGGCACATTCAAACAGATGTATGCACACCACACACTGGCACATGCAAACAGATACATGCACACCACACACAGACAGACACATACACACTGTACGCATTACAGCTCGGGAAAGTATTCTGGCAGTCTGGAGCCAAACAATACCACTGGTCACAGTAAGCAAAGCAGCTTACAGCCCTGCTCCAGGGAAAGGTTTCCCAGTGTAACAGCTCTGCTCCAGCAGGGGAGGGCTTCCCCAGTGAGGTTGTTACAGTTCAGCTCAGGTCTGGAGTGTAACAACTCTGCTAAGGGAACGTTTCCCCAGTGAAAGTGTTATACAGCCCTGCTCCACTCTGCCTTAGCCCATTATTTCTCTGCTCTGTCCCACTCCAGAGAAAGAAGGTTGTCACCCACACCTCATTCAAGAGACATATTGAGAGGGAAGAATCCAGGAGAGTGGCTGACTCTGCCAGAGTGGAAGAAGACAACAGCTAACTGAACAGGCACAGGGTTATATAGGGATTCTTAGGGGAGGAGTTTTTCTAGGGAGAAGATTTCCAGGGTAGGGGTTGGTTAAATTTCAGTTCCCTGAGCTCAGGGAACTAGATCTTGTGTTCAGGGATTGGTTGGTTTTTTGCTTAATTGATCAGGGGTAGATTTGGCTCTGGCTTCAGAGCCAAAGTGTGTTTCTTTCACTGGCCCTTTTTAGCCTTTTGGCTTTAATTTCTGGGTCAGGTTACATTTCTTTCACTGGCTCTGATCCTATGGCCAAAGTATGTTTCTTTGGTACTGGTTTTAGGATCAGAGCGTGTTTCTTTGGCTCTGGTCAGGGTGTGTTTCTTCGGCTGGCCCTTTTCTCCTACACACACCACATGCAGGCATGTGGAGGCAGGGGAGGGGGTCAGAGAGAGAAAAAGAAACAGAAAAAGTCATTCATGATTGAAATCAGAAACCATGATCTCAGGGCATTGCCAAAGCTCATGCCGCCATGAATAAATTGCATGGCAGAAACAGGGCAGGCTCCACATGGTCAGCTCTAACTCCATCAGTGACACGGGCCATCCTGGGTACTGCTGAAAGTAGCGAAAACATGCTCCATTATATATTACCTAGTTCCAAGACATGGCTGTTGAGTGCCGAATGAATGCTAAGAAAGTTGTAAGGGGCCACGGTCTACTCACCCTGGTCTTGCTCTCTTCCTGGATGCCTAGCTCTCGAATCCTCTCCAATATGGCATCCTCTGTGGGCACAGCCATATCCAATCCATTGCAAAGGAGCACGGTGAGTTTCTCCCTGAAGGAGGAGTTCTGGCTTTGTGAGGTTGCTGCTGCATCCCTGCTGGCCTTCAAGCTCAGGTCCAGATGCTGGCAGTTTTTCCTCAGTTGGTTCAGCTCTTGCTTTGAAGCATCCCAGGCTCGCTGTGCAACAAGCAGCCTTTCTTGAAAGAGCTTGGCTTCCCTTTCCAGAGCTGTTCTTGCATCCACTGCACTGAGCAAGTCCTGAAAGACAACAGAATGAAAACCATAATAGGTACATCTGCATTTGATTGGGTCTTCATTTACCTCACTTCCCTGTGACTCCAAGAACTTAGGGTTAGGTGTGCATTACGGTTCTAGTCCTAAGGTCTCTTCATGGCTTCCTAAAGTTATTAAATAAAGTTGTTTGGGCTGGAGAGATGGCCCAGTGGTTAAGAGCACTAGCGGCCCTTCCAGGGGACCCCAGTTTGATTCCCAGCACCCACACAGTGTCTCATAACCATCTAGAACTCCAGTTCCTAGGGATCTGACAGCCTCTTCTGACCTCCACAGACACCAAGAATGTATGTGGTTTACATTCACACATGTAAGCTAAACAGTCACACACATAAAATAAATAAACAAATCTTATGACGTGACTAGGCTGGTAGAGTGCTTGTCCAGCATGCACAACGCCCTGTATTCTAGTCCCAACATCACAAAGAGCCCTAGGCTCTGACCCCAACATCAAGGAAAGCCAGGCACAGTAGTGTTATAGCTGAAAACTCAACAATGAGGAGGTGGATGCAGGAAATCAGAAGTACAAAGTCATCCTCTGCTATGCAGCAAGTTTGTGGCTAGCCTGGACTACATGGGTCACAGTCTCAAAAAAACAAAACCCAAAACAAAACAAAAACCAAAAACATTATTTAAATACAGTGGTAGCTTTAATCCTGTGTTAAAAACTAGACTGGCAGTCTCTTAGAAGTGTCACTCCTGAGGAGGGATGGGTTTTCCTTCCAGGTCCTTGACTAACTTTTCTCTCAGAAAGGGAAACCAAAAACAACTTCTTCAGGTAGTGCCTGAAGAAGAGAGACTGAAAGATTGGGGAGCAGGGGGCAGGGCATGATTAAAAGGAGATGAGAGCCATACTTAGGAAAACAATCTTGAAAAATATCATATGTATCCATAGATTAAGAAAAATAAAATGTAGGGCATAGAGATGTGTGCCCACTTCTTTAATTAATCAAGTACCCAAACACACAAATTCACATCAAATAAGATCAAACAACTAGTTAGCCTGCCTTACAATATAGTCTTGCTGCTTAGTTAACTAGTTATGAATTTTTTGTTTTATTTTTTATTTAAAAGAGAATGTTAGGGGCAAAAGGCACAAAAAAAGAGACAACAATCCTTGAGCAGAGACTCACCCAACTGAGTCAGTAACATTTCTGGCTATTAGTTAAAATACCATCATCATCTTCGAATTAGAAATGGTCTTTAAAGGGGATTTATCCACCAACAGTTAGGAAACAGGAAAAGGGGTGAGCTAAAAGCTACTTCCTATTTCACAAAGGAAATATAATGTCTTCCCTTTTTTCTTATGGATCCTAAAATTAAATAATTAAAAGAAGAAGTCTCAGTCATCACTGGGAAAGAAAAGCCACCCAGAGGCAAGGAAAGCCTGCCCCTTGCAGGTTAATAACTCTTCACAGAACTTATTCTGTAAAATGCTTTGCTTTTTAGGGTCTTGGTTTCACCTTTCTCTCTTGAGAAAACCCACTGTGGATGCTAATTAAATCACAGACCTTAACGTAGAACCCAGGGTCCTTCAGCATTTACAGATTTCTTTCAGATAGGAACATGGTATCTACCTGCTTGCTCAATGTTGGTAGCCAGGATCAGTGTTGGTGATGATCAACTGGACTCATGTTTTTCCTTAGAAAGCTTATGCCCCACACTCAGTGATGCAAGGATAAAAGTTAACCCAAATGACTTCAGAGTGCCAAAGTCATATCAAATATGACATATTAACTTGTATATGAAAAAAAGCCCCCTCATGCACAAGCAGGAATCTCTTATTGTCAGTAGTGACATTTGAAGCTATTCACAGAAAGCCTTTAAAGATACATTGTTTTTCAAATCTATAAGCACCAGTGGGCAAAGGCGATGACCACCAAGCCCGAAGACCCAAGTTCAATCTCCAGGACCCATATGGTGGAAGGTGCTCACCAGTAAGTTGCCCTCTGACCTCCATACATGCATATAACACGCCACCAACACACACAAAACTAAGTAAATAAAACATGACTTTTTTCATTTAGAATAAGATGGACTTACTGACAATTTGAAGTAGATCAATTAATCAAATGTCATCTAACACCAAAGAACACCAAACATAATTGAAATATTTCATCTTTTGAAGAATGAGTCTTCCCTATTAGGTACTACCAACTTAGTCTAACACTCTAAAGCAGTGGTCCCTGACCTGTGGGATCTGACCCCTTTGGTGGTTGCTTAATCAGATATCCTACATATCAGATATTTACATTACAATTCACAACAGTAGCAAAATTACATTTATGAAGAGGCGTTGAAGTAATTTTATGGTTGGGGGTCACTATGACACAAGGAACTGTATTAAAGGGTTGCAGCATTAGGAAGGCTGAGAACCACTGTCCTAAAACAAAGCTCTGCCTTTATTTAAATCTAAATGGCCATCATAATGCCGAATTAAAATCACAAAAGTAGTTTGGTTGGATTTTTTTTTTTCTGAAAACATCCAGCCCAGTGAACTCTAAGCTGTTTCTCTATGAAATAAAGGAACCGGAGTCAGAAGCAGACCTTGGGGACAGCCACTCCCCAGTGCTCTGATTAATCACTCTGGGGCTCAGTGGCACTGTTCTACTGGAAATAGATGGCCTCGGGACTGCAAATGCAATTACCTGTCCAGTCCCCAGGAGCAAGCCACCGGACTGGAGTCTGGTTGCATGGCTACCTCAAGGATACTCTGAAGCATGAGACATGAGGTGACATGAGCATGGCTAGGCATGACCTGGTGACAACTGTCAGACCACACTGACACGGAAGGAGAAACAAACAATTTCTTTCCCAGAAAGCTCAGAGGTGACCTCCACAGAGGAAATATCTGCAGCTCAGGGCAGGCCCTAGACAGAAGGTAAAGCTTTAAAACATTTTGCAAAAATTAACAAATCTTGCTGGGTGTGGCACCACACACCTTTAATCCCAGCACCTGGAGGCAGAAGCAGGTGGATCTCTGTGAGTTCAAAGCCAGACTGGCCTACCATAGCAAGTTCAAGGACACAGCTACAGAAAAAGATCCTGCCTCAAAAAATATCAAAATAGTAATAATATTAATAAACAACTCAGTCCTACTAAGACACTAAATAATAATGTCTTCACCATTACTTTTAACAAAATTGTGTACAAATGACATTAAGTGTTCAATGAAAGGAAAAATCTATCTGAAGCAAAAAAAAAAAAAAAAGCCTTTCAAAGGTTTGTGTAGAGAGGGCTCAGTGAGTATCATGTCTGTCTCAAAAGCACAAGAACCTCCAGTTTGAATCTCCAGACCTCACATGAAAAAGCCAAGAGGTCTTCTGGGTGGGGGGAAGACCGGCAGATCACCAGAGCTGGCGGGGCAGCCAGTGTGGCCTAACCAGTGAGCTGCAGGTTCACAGAGAGGTCCTGTCTCAAAAATAAGATAGTGAGCAGTAGAGGGAGAGAGTCTCCATCAACCACTAGTCTCCACAGGCACACAAGCATATACACAATCATGCATGACAGAAACACACACAAACACATGCACATTCACTCATGATACACACACACACATATGCACATTCACCCATGACATACACACACACAAACACATACACAATCATGCATGACATACACACACACACACATGCACATTCACGCATGATACACACACAAACACATGAACATTCATGCATGACATATACACACACAAACACATACAAACACACAAACACATGCACATTCATGTATGACATACACAATTGATCCCTGTCATGAACTTGCTAATTACAATATGGACTTACATATGCCTGAGATCAAATTATTTCTTAAAAATACAATCAGTTCTTGTCAGGTGAGAACTTCTGGCTGAAGCTTAATTCCCCCAATTCTAAACTAATTTCATAAATTAAAAATGTCAGTTGTTTAATTCTGCCCATTGCAGTTAAGACTAATAAATAAATCCTATGATTCCCTACAAGCAGGCATACTCATGTAAACAGGGACAATTTGGGTATAAATTTTTCATTTGCTACGTAACAAAATACAATGTGCAAACATCTTTTAAAACTACAATTTTAGTCCCAAAAACATAAGTATAAGCTAAATTATTAAGTACAGGAGTGACAAATATTCAATATTACTCAATTGGATTACAGGTCTATGTCACTGAGTGACACTACACCTACAGAATAATGAGTAGAACTGTCTGCCAACACAGGAATAATGATAGGTTTTGAAAGCAAAGTTACTTGTTTTACTTAGATACAAATTAAAAATAAATATCTTGAACTCGAAAAAATCACCTTAAGATCTCTTGGAAGCCAGGTGCAAAGGCACACACTGACAATCCAGTTTCAACAAACCTTTATAAGAAGGGCTTACTACTGTGTCTTTATTTTTCTTGTTTTGTCTTGTTGAGACAGAATCTTTCTTTGAAGCTCTGGCTGGCCTGGAACTTACAATGTAAACCAGGCTAGCCTTTAGCTTATCTTGGATCAATGTAGACCAGACTAGCCCTTAACTTTACCTTGAATCCTCCTCCCCATCTTGCTTGGATTACAGACGAGCATGTCACCACAGCCAACAACTTCTGCAAATGTCTTGAAATCCAAGCATACCCCTCCTGTAAGGATCATTGGTTCAACCAAGACAACCTCACTTAGCATGCAAACTCAAAATTTGTGTGTGATCATGAGCAAACTTCAATGCTGGCACAAGTACTACTCCTTGTTAATGTATTTGTAGAGAGTTATTTTTTTAAGCACAAGGGTGTGTGATTTCAACTTCTGTTCAGATATTATTGTAAAGCCAACCTGTGGCTATAATCAAGATCTTTATTAATCTCCTGTGCACAAACTTTCAAAGAAGGATGGGTACAGCGTGTGTGGTTCTTTTTCCCATACTTATTCCCCATGTGGTGATTAAGTTTTCATTTCATAGCTGTGGTTTCTAACACTTGAAATTTGGATTTCCACTTTATG